AAAATGTCTGGGGACGTCCATGCAAAACCCTGCTTATGTCTGCTCCTAATGAGTAGTTTATAACATGAGTTATAACTTTTAAGTATTAGTTATAAMTTATAACTCATAAGTTCCTTATCCTAAATATTATTTTTATGTACTTAAATACCAGAAATATATTCTACTTCCGAAAATGAAATTATTAAAATTTTATGTTATGATTCAATAATTTACACAAGGATATATAATATTTAAAAATATGATTTTTTTAAAACATTGTTTTTTAATGACTTGAAACCTTGTAAAAGTTTCTAAAATTAATACTTTTTGATTAATAAGTGTCAATGTTAAATAAATTACCTCRTATAGGAAGGTTGCAAATTATTGCAAAATCCAAATTCTAATACCCACTTCTGTCAATTAATTGAGTCCTCTTATGTCTCTCTCACATTGACCTTTGATTAAAATACCTAATCTTTAACCAGAAAATGGAAGATTCAAGATAAGTAATGGAAACATTAAATAAATTATACCATGTTTGATATTTAATTATATTTTAATAAATATAAATGGTAAATAAAGGCCTTATAATTTTTAATCATATTGTATTATTGTAGTAAAATTAAGCTTTTTTTTCATAGTATTATACACGTGTATTGTGCATTTTCATAAATCCAATGAACAGACTAAAAAAAGAAGTGGTGTCGTTACTTTCTAGAATTACCAACTTAGAATATATAACCATTTTTAAATATATAAACAACTTCAACCTCTTATCAGTTAAAAAAAAAAAAAATAATAATAATTAATAAATAAATATGTAATATATAATTAATCATGCTAAGTGTTGTTAGTGAGTGCCTTCTTATACAACTTCTCACATCCTGTTTTATCTTACCTACCACATAAACTCAATGTGCATTAAATGTATAGATCGTTTATTTCTTATAAAATTAAAAAAAAAACATAATGAGTTTAAAAATTCTAAATATAATTATTAATTATACTCAAATATAGTTTCACAWAAAACATGGTTGAATGTTAACTTATAATACTAGGCAGCATAAATTTAAGTATATAAGAAATATGTGAATGAAAACATTTTTAGGGAAAGCATGGGGTAGGAGGTGGCTGAGCGGTCTTACATTCCAAAACAGGTGGAGTACATCAATTAATATTCTTAAAACTAAATAAATTAATAATCTTATATAAATGTGATGATTAGTAATAATCAGGAATTGGCGCACAAGCAATTTTTACAAATTCATCATAGTTAACTTTGCCATTTGGATGGACATTGGCTTCTCGAAAAATTTGTTCAACTAAAAAATAAAAACATTTACAGATAATTATTTTTTTTAAACGAGTTTTGGACATTTATATAATCAAGTCCATAATAATTTAATACAATGAATAATATACCTTCTTTGCTATTTAAATGTTCTCCCCAACCTTGCAATAAATGTTTGAGATGTTTACTATGTATAGTTCCACTGTGCTGACGATCATTAGCTTTGAAAGCTGCTAAAATTTCATTAGGTAATTTTTCTACACGACAATGATTGTGCATTACTTTCAGAAATTCTGGAAAATGTAATTTTCCATCTAAAAAAATGCATATGATTTAGTATGATAAATAAATATTGATTTATATTTATTATTCTCAGGCAGTTTTTAAAATAAATAAATACAATTTAATTCAATATTTACATTTAAACTATGCATKGAATGTTTTTAATGAATCATATAAAAATTATGTACTTATATAGAGGTATAGTCAGGTTTTTGTGTATGTGTGAGGGGGAGGAGACAATAGATAATCAATGAATTGACAATGAGACACAAATTAAAATTATATTTCCAGATTAAAATTTAATAAAATCAATGTTATTTGATCTTTACTTATTAGATTTATCAGTAATTTATTTATAAGTATTGAATAGTATAAATATAAATAAAATACAACATAACAATAGATAATTTGAAGATTTGAAGATTACAACCATTATACATTTGTAAAATAATAAAAACAGTACCTAATAAAATCAATGTTATTTAATCTTTACTTATTAGATTTATCAGTAATTTATTCATAAGTATTGAATAGTATAAATATAAATAAAATAAAACATAACAATAGATAATTTGAAGATTTGAAGATTACAACCATTATACATTTGTAAAATAWTAAAAACAGTACCTAAATAATACTACTCAAATTAATAGACATTGGCGTACATTTGATCGTCCTATTTTATATACACTTACACACATCGAATTACCCCCTTTAGGTGTAAATAAAATGAATCGGTCAGTTTGGCCTGGGATGCTTAAGCACACATTGGATGTGAATTTATGGTACCACGATCCTACAGTAAGCTACTTCAGAGGTCATCACACCCGCATGTGTTGTCTCTGTCTTACAAGTGTGCAACATAACACATTTTACGCTCAGTAGATCACGTTTAGCTCTGTTAGTTTAATATTTAGAGTGAGTTAACCTCTTATAAAAACTAAAGGTTATATTATTGTATAGGGCATCTCATGAGCTTTTAATTATATTTAAATTTTAAAGCGAGTTATGAGTATTTTAAAATTATAAATTGTTTGTATATCTCAAAATAATCTTATATATGTACATCTTACAATAATCTTGGCTTTAATTTTTATAGAAGGTCAATTCACTCTAAATATGATCTGCTGAGCCTCTGAGCGTACAATTTAGTATGTTATGCATTTGTAAGACGTAGACAACACATGCAGGTGTGGCATCATCTAATCAAGTGACTAAAAATTTTAAATTTYTAGAAAAATAAAATAAATCAAAACTTTAATTTATTATATAGACAAATTAATAAGCGTTAATAAAGTAGAAATTTTATAAATGTTAACATAATCGCTATTCAGTGGC